TCTCTGGTTCTGCTTTTTGTTAGTGTTCTCCCCCTGCCCCTACCCTTTCTTACTGCCTCCAATCAATCTGCCATTCTCACCTGCCTCTCGCCTGCATTTTGGGCTCACCTGTCGTGGGAAGTCCCCCATGTCAGCAGATGGGATCTGTTTGCTTTCTAATTTTTATCTTAATGGAAAATTCCAGACGTGCACAACAATAAAGAGCCCTTGTGTCGTCCATCCATCAACTTTAACAATTATCAACTTCTGGTCACCCTCACCACATGTTGAAGCAAATTCCAAGCCTGTAAATATTTCACAGCCAACTCTCAAAGAGAAGAACTCGCCAGTGTTTTCAAACCCAGCCAGGAAACCCTGGTGCTGGTATTGTTCGGCACTGCTGAGTCAGTCCCAACTCAGTGATGCACAGCAGAGCCAAACAGTCCCCTGAGCCAGGACAGCCCCACGGCCAAGGGGTGCTCAACAGGGAGGCGAAGGGATGCCCAGGGGAGAAGGGGTCCTAAGCCCTCCCACCAAAGCCACGGTTTAATTGATTTCCAAAGGTCCAGACTCTGACATCTGGTTAGGCAACAAGAATACAGATGGAGGCCTGGGCCCCAAAACACATGCAGCCCAGAGCCCTGAGCCATACAGGGGCCTACACCTTGGAGTGGGTCTCATACCCCACTGGCCCCACCCCTCACACATTCCCAGGGGACACTGGAGAGAAGGACCGAAGCGTCAGATAGAGAGGAGCCTGCAGAGCACTGGGAATTGAACTGCTCTGCTCCTCGCAGAGCTAGAGACAGTCAGTCTCGGGATGTGCCTGAGGCTTGATCTGACCTTTACCTTTCGTTTTTTAATGCACGCGCCGTCTTCCTAGACTCCTATGTTGTACACTTCTCGTTCTGTTCCTTAATGGGTGTTTGCAGCAGTTTCTTCTCATTCTGAATCATGGCCCATCAGCAGATGAAGGTCCTGGAAGCTTGGCTCCATCCACATCGCTAAAGCCAACTCTACTTTGAAGAGGCAGCTCTTCCCCAGTCGTATTCTGAGTGTCTTCCAACTTGTCTGATACAGACTCACCTTATGGTGCCACACCAGACAGCGTTCCACAACGATTCACAAGGCTTTCTTTTGCCACTTTCTATTACAAGTATATTGCCCTGTCCTTCTTATTTGGTGTCAACCTGGAAGCTCCTCTGAAACCTCAGCACCGTGCGTGAACCTGCTCGTATTTGAAATACCAGTGGCATCACTTTCAGCCTCAGAGCAATACAAAATCCACTATAGTATGACAAAGTGACAGGCGAGTGGTGGAGCTAGTAAACAGCAGCGTATTAACACCCAAATGAAAAAAATTAAGAAAATGGCGGAGGAGGTCAACTACCTTCACTAATGAAGTCCGAACGTTTTGGAAGGTTTGGTTCTGAGTTGAAGAAGAGCAAGCACGCTTTCACTCTATTCCCAATCACCCTGTGGTCTAGGGGTTCCTGACCTACTGCAAGAGTCCCCAAGCTCAAGCAGATCCACGAACATGCCTCTATTGTACTCGTTCGATGTGTGGTATGTAGCTCATGGTGCATGAATAAAATCACGAGTAGCTTTTTCAACTTCTTGAAAGGCTCCACAAACCAACTAATTTTGAAGCTGACTTTTGAACTCCTTCCTGTGATGGTGCTGGGAGTAAATGAGGTGGTGGAAGGAGGAGAGGGACGTGGACAATGTTGCCTGGAAGTGATTCGGCTGCAATCCCACTCTGGACCACTGGCTGTTCTGCCATATTGCCTGACCGATCCCTGAAACACTAGGAGATGTTGACTTCCTTCTGTCTGCAGAAGCCTTGAATTATTTCACAACAAATGTTTTTCCTGTGCAGATTCCAATAGAGCTAGCTGCAAATTATTTTAAAAGGTTGTAAGGAAAATGTCTGCAAGCCTAATGAGAATATACTTCAGGCGTGTAGGGGTGCTCCCATTTCATTTGTGGGCAGGGTTAGTATTTTGTTGTTGTTTCGTAAGGAGTCTTGGTGGCACATTGATTAAGCACTCAGCTGCCCACCCATGGCTGGCAGTTGAAACCTTCCGAGGGGCTCCACAGGAAAGAGATCTGGCAGTCTGCTCCCATAAAGATTACTAACAGGACGCTAAACCCCGTGCTACTGAGCCCACTGCAACTCACTGCGACTCTGACAGGATTTCTGAGACTGGACAACTTTATGGGAGCAGAGAGTTTCATTTTTCGTTCCTGGGTTTCCACCTCCTCTTTTGCACTTGGCGATCCACCCTTTACCCAACACCATCACCAGGCATCCATCGGGCTGTTACTGTTGTTTTGGGGGGCTCCCTTTCAGGCAGTTCTGACTCATAGCAACCCTGTGTACCACAGCATGCAACATCGCCTGGTCCCGCGCCATCCTCACAATTATTCCTGTGCCTGAGCCCAGTGTTGCAGCCACTGCCTCCATCCATCTTGTCGAGGGCCTTAGGGCCTTCCTCTTTTCACTGCCCTGCTACTTTATAAGCATCAAGTCTTTCTCCAGGGACTGGTCTCTCCTGACCACAATCCAAAGCACATGAGACGAAGTCTCACCGTTCCTGCCTCCAAGGAACATTCTGGCTGTATTTCTTCAAAGGCAGATCTCTCATCAGGGTTCTTTTGATGGACCTGGTACTTTCAGTGTTCTTCACCAGCAGCACAGCTCAAACGCATCGATGCTTCTTTGGTCTTCCTTATTCAATGTCCAACTTTCACGTGCATGTGAGGGAATTAAACAGACAAGGGCTTGGGTCACGAGCATGAAGACTACATAAAGATTACCACTTGGGAAGCCCTGTGGGGGAGTTCTATTCTGTCATATGGGCTTTATATGCATCAGGTTCAACTCGGAGGCACACAACAACTGTGCTTTTGTGTTGTAGGTTAAGCTGTCTAAGATCACACATGCTCATTAGGAAGATAGCTCGCTGGCTCCTGTGATGAGTCTGCAACTGGACACTCTTGGGGCTCCTTAGCCACCTCTTTGGGCTTCTATGTTGTTTTTATGTTCCCTCCCACTTCTTCCATGTACTCTCTCTACTCTGCAGCCTTGTAAACTCTAATTGGTGTGTCCACACTGGGGCTGCAAAAAG